GACCCCATGGACCAGAGCACGCCAGGCACTCCTGTCTTCCACTGCCTCCTGCAGTTTGGTCAAACTCATGCTGGTAGCTTCAAGAACACTATCCAACCATCTCGTCCTCTGTCGTCCCCTTCTCCTTGTTCCCTCAGTCTTTCCCAACATCAGGGTCTTTTCCAGGGAGTCTTCTCTTCTCATGAGGTGGCCAAAGTATTGGAGCCTCAGCTTCACGATCTGTCCTTCCAGTGAGCACTCAGGGCTGATTTCCTTAAGAATGGATAGGTTTGATCTTCTTGCAGTCCATGGGACTCTCAAGAGTCTCCTCCAGTACCATAATTCAAAAGCATCAATTCTTCGCCGATCAGCCTTCTTTATGGTCCAGCTCTCACTTCCATACATCACTACTGGGAAAACCATAGCTTTAACTATACGGGCCTTTGTTGGCAAGGTGATGTCTCTGCTTTTTAAGATGGTTTCAAAGTTGGTGACCACATCTTGTTACTTCATGTTGCTTATTCCAGAGTTATTGTCACAAATGAAACCTGCCCTACTTCTAGAAATGTGCAATTAAAAGATGGGAATAGGTTTACTTTTCTGTTGTTGTTTTCCCCCTGTTATCTGGGGCAGCAGGGTGATCAGTTTTGAAGCCAACAAAAAATTATTAGCAATTTGATCTGGTTCCAGTTTGGCTGCAGTTTGATATAGGGCTCTTCCCCTCCTCCCCTTCAGCGTTAAGGAGCACGGTGGGCATTTACAGGAAACAGAAAAGCTGTTCATCTTCAGTTGGTCTTTCATCTTTGCACAGTTCAGGTAACTCATGTTCCAAGTTGAGGTGGAGAGATCGGCTTGTCCATGTACACTTCTGCCTCTATGGTGAGACTAGATCATTCCCTCATTAGGTGTTTTTTTTTAATGCCACCATTTCTAAAAACAGGAGTAAGGCTTTGGAAGCGTTTCTAGCAACTACGATTCAGAAGCAAACCGTCTCAGACAGTGGAGCTAGAACGTAGCCATTGGTGGCTTGGTTTGAGGGCAACCCGTCTGATAGACTTCAAAGAAGAACAGTAAATTTATAATCACACCTTTGAAAGTACTGTTGAAAGTGGCACTGGGATGAGGGAAGGTCTGAGATCTCATTGACGATGCCTAGGCAATGACCTGGTGGTGCCAGAGACTCACAGCCCTATTTCAGACACAGCTGTGGCCGAGATTGTGTCGGGGTGGATGGGAAGAGAGGTATATCAGCCCAGCAACAAAGCTCTGTGGTTAGAATGTGTAAACTTCATCAAGCACAGCTTGGAGGAAGAACAGTTGCATTCTTCGTGGCAAACAAGTAACAAGTACACCCAGTTAACAGAAAAAGACTGCATGGAATGGCGCAGCCATAGACCTCTGACCTTTTGCTTTTTAAGTCTAATTTTGCACATCCATGGATGAAGGAAGCACATGCTGGCCATTTTCTTTCCCTTTGTTTTTGTCATGCGAGCCATTGCGGCCTTTTAGGCTGTTCTGCATTTGCTGCTGTTTTTAATTCAGTTTAATGGCATGATATTTTGTTGGGTTTTATGATTTAACTGTTAGCTGCCTTGGTGGGACGGGTGGGGAGGGCAGTCCATTTTTGCAGTGGAAAGGCTGATTAGAAATATTTGAACAAAGAAAATAAAACGTTTGGTTTTTTTCTTTTTGCAAATGCAGAGCTAACAAAAGGTGGTGGTGATTTGCGGAGTGGGGGACAGTGAAAATGCAAACCAGTTACTATGGGAGGGAGAAAGTGATATTTAATGTATGTAGGGGTGCAACATGGAGGGAAGGGCTGTAGCTCAGTAGCAGAGCATCACCTTTCGGTACAGAAGGTCCCAGGGTCAATTGCTCGCATTTCCAACTGGGGCTGGGAGAGACCCCTGTGTGAAACCCGGGAGAGCTGCTGCCAGTCAGTGTAGACAATACTAAACTAGATGGACCCATGGGCTGACTGTGTGTATAAGGAAGGCAGCTTCCTCTGTTCCTATGAAGGTTCTCAGGAGCAGACTGCCCAACCAAGAGGCAGAAACAACAAGATCCAAGAAACGATAAGAAGCAAACTGTAAGGGTTGTAACTGAGAGATGTTGGTGCCATCCTACGGCGTGTTTACATAATGGTTAATTTAGCCTTGAATAAATGAGTCCATCTAGCTCTTCATTAGAGAGTCTGATGCTCGCGATAAGCTTTTATTCTGTGCAAGTATCCTTTGCAGAGGATGGGAACTAGACAGCCACAGAGCCAACGTCAGATGATTCAAAGGTATTACTAAGATCTGTAATGTGCCCTTCAAGTTTACCACCCCTGATGGGTGACTCAAATATTATAGGGCCATTGGGAGCAACGGACCCTGGTACATGAGTCACAGAGGTCATGCAGCTGCCCATGGCAGCCTTGCTAAAAGACAGGCTCATTAGGCATATATTTCTGTTTGTTCTTAGCACTTGCTTCCTTACCTCAGTCTGCTGTCTAGCGCTTTTTTCCTTGCCTCTTCTGTAACTCCATGGTCTTTGTAAAGGTGTTTGGACAGCAGGCGGATGTCAATGTCAGTAAGTAATTCTTACTCAGATGCACCTGGAGCCATTAATGTGCATGTGGGTGAAGCTAACGAGCAAACTCAGTCCAGACAGGCTGGAAGTGCTGATGGTCTTTGAGTCATTGGACTTTGGAGGCTGTGCTTGGCCTGCTCTTGACGGGATTGCGTTAAATTTCGCAGCCCGGGAGAGCTGTTTAGGTGCCCTGATGTGCTTTTTATCAACTCTGGTTGGTGCTCCAGCTTTGCCCACTCCTGGGTAAAAGCAACCTGCTCATACATTGATACCTGTGCCTTTGCAACATAATAATAATAATAATAATAATAATAATAATAATAATAATAATAATAATATATATCCCGCCTTCCCCAGCCAAAGCTGGGCTCAGAGCGGCTAACAGTAAAATAATACGGCATTCTAAAATCAATTCATTATAAAATCAGTTCAAATCAAATTAATGGCAACCATTGGGCTACAGTTCTGTGAAGAATTACCAAAGGAGAGGGGGTCAGGCTGTGTCTTGGCCAAAGCCCTGGTGGAACAACTCTGTCTTGCAGGCCCTGTGGAAAGATGTCAAGTCCCGCAGGGCCCTAGTCTCTTGTGACAGAGCGTTCCACCAAATCGGAGCCACAGCCAAAAAAGCCATGGCTCTGGTTGAGGCCAGCCTAACCTCTCTGTGACCCGGGACCTCAAAGGTGTTTTTGTTTGAAGACCATAAGGTCCTCCATGGGACATACCATCTAAATTGGATTCCTTTGTTTGGGTGTCTGCTCACGTGAAAAGGTGGGGAGCTCTGCCCTCTGTTCCACTATGCCTGTTGCTCTCAGTGAGAGCCTGTTGGATTAAGCCAATAGCCCACTTAGCCCAGCACCAGATGCCAGTGGAAAACCCACAAGCTGGACACAAGCTCAGGAGCCCTCCACCCTCCTGTGGTTTCCTGAAACTGGTATTCAGAAGCATTACTGCCTCCTACTGTGGGGGCAGAGGAGAGCCATCAAGTAGCCTTTGATAGGCCTCTCCTCCATGAATTGGTCCAGTCCTCTTTTAAAGCCATCTAAATTGGTGGAGAAATTTGAAGTGGGCAACTTCCTCTAATCACCCTCCAGGGTTCTAAATCATGTGGGGAGCCTCCACAAGTAGAGGAGGCTCCCCGCTCCACGTGTCACCCTCCAACTTGTGGAGGGTGATGGGCACAGCGGCATGGGGCACGATACAGCTTGACCTGTTCATCCCTGCTCTCTATTCCTATGTGTAGTCTTCACGTAGGCGCATAAGGCTGCCTATGGGTGGTAGACCGGTTGTTAACTATATTCCCATGTACTGAATGTATCTCACTGGTGCTTAAAGAGTTGTGCTGACTTCTATGCATGCTGGAGAGCAGCGTTTCCATTGTTCTAGGCACTTTTTGTGACAGGGGATTTCATTTATGCAAGCAGTTTCTGAGCTCTGGGAGCAGTATTGCACCTAAGGTTTCAGATTAAAACTGCCACTGCCTCCCCACTTCCAGCCACTCAACCCTCATATTATGGGGGCAGGCAGGGGAAGTATGGCTTTGGGGTTTTTTTGCAGTCTTAGATGAGGACTAGACCATGTGATAAATGAATACAGTGGTACCTCGGGTTAAGTACTCAATTCGTTCCGGAGGTCCGTTCTTAACCTGAAACTGTTCTTAACCTGTTCTTAACACCACTTTAGCTAATGGGGCCTCCCGCTGCTGCCGCACCGCCGGAGCACGATTTCTGTTCTCATCCTGAAGCAAAGTTCTTAACCTGAAGCACTATTTCTGGGTTAGCGGAGTCTGTAACCTGAAGCGTATGTAACCCGAGGTTCCACTGTATAAGGTTTTAACTGCAGTTCATTATTTTCAGCTTTGCATTATCCTCCATTGTCTGTGTCCACGTTCAGACATATACCACTCTGCTCATATGGAATGAGGCTGCATTTTAAATTGCATTTTAACCTGTATTTTAAATGTTGTTTTTTCTTTTTATTTTTCTTTTTCTTTTTCTTATTACGTTTTTACTGAAATTTTATTGGTGTTAGCTGCCCTGAGCCTGGTTCTGGCCAGGGAGGGCAGGGTATAAATAAAATTATTTATTTATTTATTTAAAAGCGCACCTAGAAATTCCCTTGTGGTGCCTATAACCTAGGTTTAAGGTGCCATTTAGCTCCTAGTTTTCATATCTTAGTTTCTTAACACTTCTGGAGAGCTGGAGTGCACACTCCTTGTACAACCAGCATATCTGTACACCAGATGTGTACCCTCTTAAATATTTTTCTGCAAGAGTAGCGGGTCTCTATACTGTTGGTAGATTCCCTACCAAATCATACCCTACTGTGCCCTCCCCTCTCCCCCATTGTCTGTGTCCACATTCAGACATATACCACTCCGCTCATATAGGATGCTTTATGGTTCGCCCAAAAAGCAAGAGTGCCATTAAGTGTGTATTTTGTTTTCGCAGTGGAGCATGACAAGGAGTTCTATCACCAGCGCAGCCATCGCCGCGAGTTCCGGTTTGACCTCTCCAGAATCCCCGAGGGTGAAACAGTGACCGCTGCTGAGTTTCGAATTTACAAGGACTATATCCGAGAACGCTTTGATAATGAAACATTCCAGATCAGTGTCTACCAGGTCCTCCAGGAACACCCAGGAAGGTGAGTGACTGAGGAAAGACCCCTGCCTGAGCTGGGGGGTGAAAAGGCAAGAGCCAATAATTGCGCGAGTGGCTGGAACAATTGCGTGGCATCTCGTCCCATAGTGCTCATATCTGAATGTGCAAACTCATCCTTTTCAGACTGTCAGGAGTTGAGAAGATGCAAAGCAATATGAAAGCTCTGTCTGTGATGGTTGTTGATCCACAAAGGCCGTTTCACACATGCAAACTATCCCTTAAGGTGGCAACTGAGAAGCATACACAGGGTGAACTCAGGGTGAATCAAGGATTGATATATGTCGATGTTCGTTGCGCCAGTTTGTGGACCAGGCAGAAAGATTAGAATAGAAAGATTTTGATTATTTGAAATGTGAAGAGAGAAATATAACATGCAGAGGAATTCCTGGGCTAGCCTATGCAAAAAACGACCAGGATAAACAACTGAGGGCCACTGGCAATCCAAGAGAACTGTCCTTCCCCGCTGCCCTGAGGTGCGAACAGAGAGGGGGATTTGGAAGGTTGCTAGGGTAACTGGGTGTGAGCTGACAGGAAAAGAGTGTTTTTAACTAGGTGTGCTGGGAAGAAGAAGGGGAAAAAAAGAGAAAGAGAGATCCATCTTGGGCAGGCTGGCTGAAGGCAGGCTGGGAGAGATGCCTTGGACTAGAGTGAACAGTAAGACTGATGAGTGGCTCTGTTTTCACAGGTGTCTGGCTTGACCCAACTGCACAGACACTGCTGTTATATCTTATAGCTGAACACTCAAAGAGGGCTCATTAAAGCCAGATACTAGAACGACCCACCTCGAGACCTAGTTCACCCAAAGCCTTTCCATGCACACATTTGCACCAGGCTTGGTTGGAGGCTCGGAAAGCACGGGCTGGATCCTGACTCCAATCTTGCTAGTTGCCCAACGCTGCTCAGCGTTTGTTGCAAAACGGGACGCAGAACCTTCCTTCCCCGTGACTTAATGTGACTTTCGTATGGCGTAACTGATTGATTGGCATGCCCTTTGATTTTATTTTGCGTTGCGCCTTCTGCATTTAGGAAACCGGATGAATAACAAATTGAGTTTTGGTTGGTGTTTTTCTTGACAAAAAGGAATGATGGAAGAAGTGAGTTGTTTAGCTTGGAAGAAGTTTCGTGATTGCGGATGGTCGTCTTCCAGCACTCGGTCCCACTCTTTGGAGGCTAGAGCAGGGAGCGCTAATCCATTATTGCTGTAGAGTAAAATTATTGGTCACCAGGGTAGGAAAGTTCCAAAAGTGTGTGCATATGGTAAGGAGGACTCCCTTTGATCTCTCTCGCTGAGGGTTTCCCCCTCCAGGCCTGCTGTTTGCCCAGGACTATAACTAACTACAGGAAAACAAACGCATTATACAATTTCCCAGGCTGACTCACAGCGTGCAGTGACATGCGTCATGTCGGCATGGGAGCTTTTCTTTCTTAAAGGCTGGAATTCTTTTTCCTGTGTAGGTTTAATAATAAAAGCAGTAGCTTTCAAGAAGTGGCTGCTTTTCTCCCCCTTTCTCTCCCCCCTCCCCTTTTTAAACTTTCGTGAATCGTGGTTTGTGGGTGAAGGAGATGAGTCAAGCAGTAAAGGAAGCATGAAAGGCTTTCACCTCTGGAAATTCCACATCAGATGCTGGTGTTGGAGTCCAAGAGCAATGCTTTCTCATCCCTGCTTCCTGTGGGAGTCCTTCGGTCAGATGTTGGTTATGACTTGAAAGCCCCGGGATGCGTTTCAGTGGCAGAAACCTGGCTAACGAGTTGTGTGGTCTCCTTGATGCAAACCAGTAGAGGGAGGCCTCAAAAGCATTGTCTGTTTCCCAGGCTGGCCTTTTATAAGGGGAAAAGGGAAGTCTGCAGCCTGGGCTTACAAAGTGTGTCTCAAGCAACCTCAAAAGGTGCCTTATAGCGGCGGGTCAAGCTGTTTTTCCAACCAGCCCAATGCTATCTGCTCTTGAGCCTTATTAACCCCCAGGATCTTTCTTGATAGCAAGTCTTTCCCATCAACCATTATATTTTATTTATAAAGATATTTCTACATACCTGTATCATAAAAAACTCAAAGCTGTTGGCAGTATCTATCTATCTATCTATCTATCTATCTATCTATCTATCTATCTCTATCTATCTATCTATCTATCTATCTATCATCTATCTATCTATCTATCTATCTATCTATCTATCTATCTATCATCTATCTATCATCTATCTATCTATCTATCTATCTATCTATCTATCTATCTATCTATCTATCTATCTATCTATCATCTATCTATCATCTATCTATCTATCTATCATCTATCTATCTATCTATCTATCTATCTATCTATCTATCTATCTATCTATCTATCATCTATCTATCTATCTATCATCATCTATCTATCTATCTATCTATCATCTATCTATCTATCTATCTATCTATCTTATCTATCTATATATAACAAAAACACATATATAACAAAAACACATAAAAATTATAATCAGAGACCACAACTAACTATTTCTCTGCATACCTCAGTTGGTTAGATCATGGTACTGATAACATCAAGGTCACAGGTTTGATCCCCATATGGGACATTTGCATATTCCCACATTGCAAGGGGCTGGACTACATGATCCTTGGGGTCCCTTCCAGCTCTACAATTCTAAGATTCTATATTCTAAGATTCTGTATGTAGGTCTTTATATTCTTCTGTTTGTTCATTGCTGGTTCAGCACCCTATCTCTTTCTCTCTCTCTTGTGTTTTCATGCTTTTTAAAATCTTCTGCCACTTTATGGGACTCTGCCAATTATTTTTTGTTCATGTTATTCCGCTTCTTTCTCTTAAATGCTTTGAAACTCATTTATTTCATTTCGTGCATTTTGGCTTGCTGATTTCTAATTCTGCTCCACCTCCACCTCTTTCAGTTTAATTTGTAAAGCCCTCTGCAAGTGTTCTGATGCCACGTCAGTGCGATTTTTCTGGGGTTCTAGAGCATGCAGGGAACCTCCACAAGTGCAGGGGGATATCCCTGCTCCATGAAATCATCCTGCAACTCATGGAGAATGATGGACAGGATCATGCAAATGTGTGTGGAGCTAACACAATCACATCCTCCTTTTATGTGATTATTTATTTAATGATTTTGTTCATTTATTTGTTGCCTGCCTGGCCTTTACCATAAGGTTCCAGGGTGTTGGGGTGAGCAACAGTTTCAAAATATAATATTTTAAAAGTTAAAAGCGTATGATGCGTCCTCAGGAGTAGCAGATGGCAATGGTGGGACAGCAGTGCTCTCTTGACCTCCTTACAGCTGTGTTGCTCCCGCTGATTACTGAGAAAGTGAAGACGAGGAGGGTAAGGAGACTGGCACAGTACAAACACAGTCAGCAGAGTAAATCTAGGGCTCCTACCAGTGTGTTTGCACCGTGCTAACCTTACCCATGTCCTTCCTGGTCCTCCTTCCTGAAGCAATGCTGACCTGCCATGCAGTCTGCGATTGGTCCTAAAATATGTATCTCAAGTACCGTAGATCAGATGCACAGTTTTTACTAAGTTGAAATCTTGGTCTGTTGGGCAGGTTCTGTTTTTGTTCAGAGCCTAATTTTTTATTCAGTTTTTAGGCATTTCACAAATAAGAGGTACACATTTAAATAGTTAAATAATGAAACTATTAAATAAGAGGTATACGTTTATAACTATTTTCAGATAGTTATTGTCTCCTAAAGTGGCTAAATTTACTACTATTTTACTAAATTTACTACCACATTTACTACTATTTACTACTACTACCACTATTATTATAATATTATTATTAATTATTTATTATTATTATTATTATTATTATTATTATTATTATTATTATTATTATTATTTTACCAGCCCTTCACCCAAAGGTCCCAAGTTGGGTAACATAATATTAAAACACAATAGTAAAAAACAGTTCAAAACAACTTAACAGTCACACAAAAAAGATGGGTCCTTGAAATAGACACCTCTTGTCAAAAGCCAGGGCAAAGGGGTGCGTCTTCAGCATATGCCAGAAACTGTATCATTAATAATGAGAAAGAGTCCTGCTATCAGGTTTACAAACTAAACAGGCAAAACCCACAAAGGAAAAGGAAAGTCAGGAAAAAGGTAGAGGAGGGAGATTCAGCTCTTTGAAGCTGGAACAAAGTGATGAGCTACAAACATTTATATTCAGTCGGGCTGATCTCCCCTTGTGGGTTGTTCTTGCCTGAGTAGCAGTTGTTCCTATGATTCAGGAAAGGGTAAGATCGGCCCAGTATACCTGAAGGAGCGTCTCCACCCCCATTGTTCAGCCCGGACACTGAGGTCCAGCTCCGAGGGCCTTCTGGCGGTTCCCTCAGTGCAAGAAGTTAGGTTACAGGGAACCAGGCAGAGGGCCTTCTCGGTGGTGGCGCCCACCCTGTGGAATGCCCTCCCATCAGATGTCAAGGAAATAAACAACTACCTGACTTTTAGAAAATGTCTGAAGGCAGCCCTATTTAGGAAAGTTTTTAATGTTTGATGTTTTATCGTGTTTTTAATATTCGGTTGGGAGCCGCCCAGAGAGGCTGAGGAGGCCTGGCCAGATGGGCAGGATAAATATTATTATTAGTGAGGTCTTGTTACTTTGGCTGGTGCATGGGGCCAGAGTGTCCTTTCTCGTTGCTTCTTCAGTCCCCTAGCAACTGGCATTTGGAGCAGAGTTATTTCTGGCAGGGGCATGGAAGTGACCCACGGGAACAAGATGCGGGGGGGGGGGGGGCCTCCCCTTGCAACAATGTTATCCCAGAAAGACAGGGAGTGCCACTCTCCAATGGCCTATTGGTAGAGCATCTGCTTTGTATGTAGAAGGTCCCAGGCTCAAACCCCAGCAGCTTCAGGTAGGGCTGGGAGTGTCCTGTGTCTGAATACCTGGGGAGCTGCTGCCAGTCAGTGGTCCAACAGCTTCCTGGGTTCCTAAGGCTGTCTCATGAACACACAGCTGGTCTCATCTCTGCCTCTGTTGGAATGATCGCAAAGTAATTAGTTACACAAATATCTATGCAAAGTGTGCGCAAGATGTTTGGCAAGATGATACAGGAGAGTCAGCAAAACAGACCGAAATTGAAGGTGCCGTGTTTGCATATCCAATTACCAAGCTTGCACAAACAGCCACAATATCTAGGCTAGTAGTATAAACATAGATGTTGTGGTTGTTTGTGCAAGATTGGCATATATTAGCTCTAAGAGCAGTATATTTATATGGAACCTTTTATAGTTGGACCAGGCGTCTGAAAGCAAGTGCATGTGGTTGTGTGTTCACAGGTTGCATTGTTGCTCTGCCTCTCCCATTCAGCCCCTGAGATGCTCAGTTTATTAGCAGGGGTGACGTTTCTCCTCTATATCATCCTATGACTACTTGTCTTTGCAAATGCACTCCTATAAATGGTAAAAGTTGCAATTCAACGCCGAACGTGTTTTATTTCTCATGATCATATTGCAATATCACAGTGTGCCTGTTTGCAAGACAGGAAAAGCTCTTGTAGGAACCATAGATAAAAGAATGAAGAAACACCACCTTCTAGTAACATTTCCCCATAAAAAAAGGATTGTATATTATGATTACATATTATGTTGTTTTCATTTACGTCTTGTGTCTTATGAAGCATCTCAAAGCAGTTTCCCAACACAATAAAACATATATAAAAATTGTGTACAGTGGTACCGCGGGTTAAGAACTTAATTCGTTCCGGAGGTCCGTTCTTAACCTGAAACTGTTCTTAACCTGAAGCACCACTTTAGCTAATGGGGCCTCCCACTGCCACGGCACCGCCGGAGCACAATTTCTGTTCTCATCCTGAAGCAAAGTTCTTAACCCGAGGTAATATTTCTGGGTTAGCAGAGTCTGTAACCTGAAGTGTATGTAACCTGAAGCGTATGTAACCCAAGGTACCACTGTATATAAAAAATTAAAAATAATTGCACATATTTAAAAACAGTTAAAACAATTAGAGGCAACAACTGATTTATGCCCATGCATGTGCGCATCGCGGCAACCTGGAAGTGGCCAGAAAAGCTGGAATAGGAGGGGCAGAGCAGGCTTATGTGCACTCTGCCATCATGTGCAATGATCCAGAATGCACCCCACCACACACAAATTGGGGGTTGCCTGTGCACATAGATATAGATAGATATAATTTCAAATCTCCTACAGATTCTAACTAGAATATAATGTATTTACTTGAATCTAATGCTCCCCTTTTTTGGCAAAATTTTGTTGCAAAAACTAAGATGTGCATTAGATTCAGTGGCACATTTACATTCACCAGCAAATACTTCTTTGGGTTTCAAGGTTCTGAAAATTGAGATGCACATTAGACTCAGTGGTGCATTAGACTCGAGTAAATACGGTCCTTCTCTAACTGTTGAAAAAGGAAGGTCTTCAACAGATGCCATAAGGCAATAGAGATGTTGCCTTTCTGAGATGTAACATGAGGGAGTTTCAAAGGGGAGGTGCTGCCACACTGATGGCCCGATTCCAACATCATGTGGAATGGACCTCCTGTTACGATGGCACCTTCTAGATGCCCTTTCTTGCAGACTATAGCGATTGGCTCAGCATATAAGGGGTGAGATGGTCCTTTATGCTGCTGCATAAATTGAGCAATGATTCACACATGCGCGGACATCACTTGATAATTTTCAGATGAGCTCCCTCCTTCCTTAGTTGTGAAGCCAACTTGTCTTCTGAAGCCAAATGTTGGTTGATATGAAACCTCTGTTTTCAGTATTTGTTCTGTGGAATGCAACAGAACAATGTGCAACAGGATGTCACTGAAACCTTAAAATTACAAAGCGCCCTGAAGTAGGGCTGGGTTTGAAGACTGCTTGGAAGCCATTCTTTATTTGGGAGCACATGTGAACAGTTCTCAGTACCTTCTCTCTCCACCCCACTCACTTAAAATCTAAACTGCGTGAGGAAAGTGTATGCTTTAGGCTATCCTGTCTTAAAATATTTACAAGTGTCCCAGTAAGAATAATTTTCAAGTAAAGCTCTGCTTTTGCTTGAATAATGCAGATGTATGGTTTAAACGTCGCATTCAAATGAAACAATAGTTCTATCAGTTCTATATAATTTGTTTACTTGCAGTATAGTCTTATATATCTCTATCCAGCTCCTGCCAACCTAGCAGTTCAAAAGCATGCCAGTGCAAGTAGATATATAGGTGCCACTGCAGCAGGAAGGTAAATGGTGTTTCTGTGCGCTCTGGCACTTGTCACGGTCCTCCGTGCACCAGTAGCGGTTTGGTCATGCTGGACACATGAGCCGGAAAGCTGTCTTTGGACAAATGCCGGCTCCATCGGCCTGAAGCAAGGTGAGCGCCACAACCCCATAGTTGCTTTTGACTGGACTTAACCATCCAGGGGTCCTTTACCTTTACCTTTTACCCCAATAAAGAATTTCAGCCTTAGTATTCTTTTAAAATGTTCATGTTATGCATTATCTCTCGGCCAGCGTGTGTATTTTGTCTGCATCCGTTAGAGAGTTGGTGTGATTGCTGCCTGCCTGGGTTTTTTGGCTGATTGCAATGTGTGGTATTGTTTGACTTCTCCCTGAGGTGGTGTGGTCCAGAGTCTACCTCATTATAAAGACAGACTTGGCTGTAAGCAGTGGGGTCAACACCAAAGCATGTGGTTTCTTCTCGTAAATTATAAACTTGCAATTTTTTTGGAGGGCTAAATGTCATAAATGCTTTTTGTTTTTTTATTTCATTTTCCCATTCCATCTCTTTGGTGCTACCATTTAAGTCAGAGATTACCCAATGTTGTTGGACTCCATTTCCCCTTAACCCCAGTAAGCATGGCAAGTGGTCAGGGACTTATAGCCCCAACTTATAGCCCCAACAACATCTAGAGGGCATCCTGTCTGCTATTCCTGCTGTATATGGTTTATCCAAGGTTGCTTTTAGTGTTGTTTAAATGTAATAAAATGTAGTAATATGTCTTAATTATCCTTAATTTCCTCTCCTTTTTCTTTATCCCTCTCTAGGGATTCAGATTTGTACTTGCTCGACACTCGGACAATTTGGGCCGCGGAAGAAGGCTGGCTAGTGTTTGATATTACAGCAACCAGTAATCACTGGGTGGTCAACCCACAACACAACCTTGGCTTGCAGCTATCAGTGGAAAGCATAGATGGTATGTTTCCGAAAGGTCAGCACTGACAAATCTCTATTTCGGCTTCCTATCCTGCAGTTTATGGCTAGTTGTTTTTAGAAATGGCGACATTTTCATATCCCAACCCTCCATTCTTCCTGCCCACTGATTCGTTCATCTTTCCTGCCTCCTGTACATGGGCCAGATTAATAACTGGAGCAGCTCCACAGGAACCAGATAGTTTCAAAGACTGTCACTTTGGCATTCATTTGCTTTTGAAAAAAGGATGATGCTGTCCCTCATGATTGCTGATAAGAGTTTGGATGGACCTAGCCTACTGAAGTCTTAGAAGTAGTTTTCCATGCTTTATATAGGTATCTGCTGCTTTCCTATGACTATTACTTCTTGTCCTTCTAGTGTCCACTTGACATCTACCATCCTTATATATGTTTCCCCTTCCATCCAGCATTATGGTCCTTCCCTTTTGATGCTTCCTTCAGCAGCTTCTTGGAATACTTCCAGAGGCATTGGGTGAAATTCAGCATCACACTCTTGCCAATTGTCTGTGCAAACATTCCGGCTAGTTAGACGGAACAATACCTTCTCCCTGCGCACTGTTCTAGGGTTCTCCTGACCCACCCAGGGCCATTTTTTTGCAGGGGAGGTGGGTGCAGGAAACCCCATTGCTCAAGTGTTGCCCTGGCACAGGGCGTCTGCTGATGGAGCTGGTTAGGCGACTCCTACCCACTGTCCTGCAGCAGGTAATAATCCCAGCAGAATGAGGGTTCTGATGGCAAGGGACCAGCTGCAAGCAGAGTCAGTGGGCACAATCAGGGTCAAGCGAGACCAGGTTGAGCAGTTCCACATCCTGGTGGGATTTAAGACTGGGTAGCTCTATGGGAATGTTGGTTTAGTGACAGGTAACCTTGGACACGGGTTGGCGCTGTGGGTTAAACCACAGAGCCTAGGACTTGCCGATCAGAAGGTCGGCGGTTCGAATCCCCACGACGGGGTGAGCCCCCGTTGCTCGATCCCTGCTCCTGCCAACCTAGCAGTTCAAAAGCACATCAAAGTGCAAGTAGATAAATAGGTTCTGCTCCGGCAGGAAGGTAAATGGCGTTTACGTTCACTGCTCTGGTTTGCCAGAAGCGGCCTAGTCATGCTGGCCACATGACCCGGAAGCTGTACACCGGCTCCCTCGATCAATAAAGCAAGATGAGTGCCGCAACCCCAGAGTCGGCCACGACTGGACCTAATGGTCAGGGGTCCCTTTACCTTAACCTTGGACTGAGTCTCCCATGGACAAGCTGGGGGCAATGGTCTGGACCAATTGACATTTCCATAATATTTTAGGTCTTTAAAATATAAGCCAATTCTGAGCTGTAGCTACAGGGGTGCTACCCAGGGGTTGGTTTTGTGTGTGTGTGTGTGTGTGTGTGTGTGTGTGTACGCAAATGTATGTGGGGGGTACCGAGCTGGGTCTTTGGCCACTTAGGTATTTAAAAATCCCAACACAGTATATTCAAGGCCAGCACCAGATTCAGGTGGTAACATCCTTGAATCCTCAGAGGGAATGCACCGCCAGGCTGAATGTTTCTTCCAGGTGCAACAGAACTGCCAAGCAACAAACGTAATCCATTTTATCAGGGATGGCTTCTGTTTATTCACCCTAACCAGCTCCAAAGTGGTCCCCCAGACACAGGTTCATTGCTCCCATTGCCTCTCTAGCATTTAAAGATTTAAATGTGAAACAGAACAATGTGATTGGTGACATCTTGGCCCCAGACCCTGGACCCATTTCTGGGTTTTTTTTTGGCAACATTCAGAACACCCTGTCCCTGCCCTCACCAGAAACAGACTTCCCTTTTTCCAAACCAAGCACGAATGAAAACCAGGAGGAACAAGGAGATCCATTATATGGGTAGTAGCTTAGCCGAGGAACAGATGGAATGCATGGCATTGACACGGCCCTTGGTGTCCATCCCAGTTGTCCCATGGAGACCTTGGTCAGCCCAAGCCGAGTTGTTTTGAAGTGTTGTTTGAAACGATAATGAAAGACATTAGTTCATATTTAATAGCAATCCCGATTCCTTTGTATCAGCGCCAGCGAGATCCAGCAACGATAGGAAAGGAAAGGGAATTTTAAAGGCTCTTTGTTTACTCTTAGAAAGTTTGGATAAAGTGAAGCAATGCGAGAGAGGCTGAAGTAATTTTTTTGCCTGGGGCATTCTGTCATCTTCTAAGCACTCTTAATTCTTTCCTCCCTGACAATATGTTGGAGCAGCAGCTGACTTCTCGGAGCTTACTTGGGTTTCTTACTTATTACGGGTTCACATCCTGTTTGTCTCATTGCAGAGGCAAGGAAAGCAGAGCTATCCTTCAGCCTGAACCTCTGTGCATTTGCTTGGCACTAAGTCTCATTGAGTTTAATGGGACTGTGCATCGAATTATATAGCCTTCAAGGTGCTGAAGCCTAAGGAGAGTCATTTGAGAATATGGTTGTCTCTTTACATTTAATTGTGGGACATCAATATTGGTTTTTAAGTCCTAAAGAACCGTTGTTGTTTAAATAATGCAACCATTTGAGCATACGAATAGCCATGCAAGATCAGCCCCAAAGCACATTTAGTTCACTATCCTGTTCTCCTATAATAGGCAGCCAATAATAAGATTCTAAATTGACCCAGTCTGCTGTAAATATTTGCCTAGGCGAAAGCAGGTCAAAAGAGCAGTGATCCCCTTTCTTGTGGCATCTTACTCAAAAGTCGACCCATTTAAATGAACGAACATGGCCAAGTTAGGTCCATTAATTTCAATGGGTCTGCTCTGAGTAAAACTTAGTGGACTACCACCATATATTTGCTTAGGCTTCTGTCCCACCTTTCCTCAATGAGCTCCAAGTGGCACACATGGTTCTCTCCCTCCCCATTTCATCATCACAACAACTCTTTGAGGTAGGCTACCCTGAGAGGGTGAATGATTGGCTCACAGTGTGGTGATATGTCCTGGTCTTGTGTGTCCTGGTTCAATACACTAACCACTATACCACACTGCCTTTAGGCTGCAGCATCGAGAGCAGTCAAGCCTGCCTTGTGGGAATACACAGATCTGAATAGCCAGGCATAGTCCAGCTTGCACACTGAAGTTCAAAGAGTTGGCGTCAGTAAGCAAAATATATTGGAAAGACTAAAGCCATTTCTTGCCCTCAAGCGCGATCTATCCGGAATGGCACTGGACTTCATTTCAGATGAGACGTTTTTATTTTAAGCCAATAACCTTCCAGTGAGAATTTAGTGTTCCGCTGAGGCTAGTTTTTATTGTTCTTTTTTACAGGATCACATCAAATTCTAAGCTGCTGAACTCAAAGAAACCTCTCTTAAAAGCAAAAAAGCAAAGTAAATACTGTAAATAAATAACAATAATAAAAACCCAGGGAAGTCTAATATTGACGTTGACCTAGCATAACATAACATTTGCTTCAGTTTGGGCACCGTGGCATATAACACAAAATTTGTTGTGTTGAAGTATTGCTTGCGAGAAAAGCTGCCTTAATTTCAGGGCCCAGTTTTTGATCCTAAACCTAGTGAGAATGGCTTTGGGAGCAAACCCCCAAGAAAAAAAATCTGTAACCACTGCCCTGTGGGGACATCTTTCAGAGAAGAAAGGGCAAAGGAGTAAACCCTTCACACAGATAACAACAACAACAACAACAACAACAACAACAACAACAACAACAACAACAACAACAACTTATTATATGGCTGGGTTTCTACAGCCACTCTGGGTGGCTTTCAACAAAGATTAAAAATACATCAAAATGTCACACATTAAAAACTACCCTGAACAGGGCTGCCTTCAGATGTTTTCTAAATGTCAGGTAGTTGTTTATCTCTTTGACATCTGATGGGAGGGAGTTCCACAGGGCGGGGGCCACTACCGAGAAGGCCCTCTGCCTGGTTCCCTGTAGCTTTGCTTCTTGAAGTGAGGGAACCCCCAGAAGGCCCTCTGTGCTGGACCTCAGCATCCGGGCAGAATGATGGGGGTGGAGACCCTCCTTCAGGTATACTGGGCCGAGACCGTTTAGGGCTTTAAAGGTCAACACCAACACTTTAAATTGTGCTCGGAAACGTACTGGAAGCCAATGTAGGTCTTTCAAGACCAGTGTTATGCGGTCTCGGCGGCCGCCCCCAGTCACCAGTCTAGCTGCCACATTCTGGATTAGTTGTAGTTTCCAGGTCACCTTCAAAGGTAGCCCCACGTAGAGCGCATTGCAGTAGTCCAAGCGGGAGATAACTAGAGCATGCACCACTCTGGCAAGTGACTTGCATCCCACCTTCTGGCAACTTCTGGCCAGGAGGGTGCCAAACTTATTACTCTGCTTTCCTTTGGACCACATCAGCGAGACGGAGAGAGGGGTCCTGTCATCTGGTCAACCCAGGACCTCCATACACACAGGCTTGCACCCTGGGGTGGTTATTTGGTGCTGCAGATGCAGCAAAAAGAGTGCAGGGGGCAGCAGTTAGGAGTTACCAGTCTCTGCAGCCACAGCAGGCGCTGGGATTCTCCAGCAACTTGACTTCACCCCTGGAGGCTCACTCCGTTGTTTCTTGAGACAAATGGATGGCGACGACAAGTTTTTAAGTTAGCCTCAGCATGCGTCTGGAAAGCCACGGGAGTTTAGTTGTGGGTTTGCAGGTCCAGCTATTTGTCTTCCTGCTCTTCCTGGTGCAAATGGGAAGCAGGTCACACTCCGCTTCAGAGCTAATGGTCTGTCCATCCCCCATCTCCTTAGGGCAAAGCATCAATCCCAAGTTAGCTGGTCTTATTGGAAGACACGGCCCGCAAAACAAGCAGCCCTTCACCGTGGCTTTCTTCAAAGCCACAGAGGTGCATCTCCGCAGTATCCGTTCCGCAGGAGGCAAACAGCGGAACCAGAACCGGTCGAAGACGCCAAAGAACCAAGAAGCCTTTCGGGTGTCAAACCTCGGAGGTATGCCGGCATTAGGTGTGTGCTTTCCATAAAGCTAACCCTGGTGGGGAATGCTGTTTAAAAGCTGGGACAATTTCTGTTTCAGGGAGTGAATGCTGGGTGGGGCCTTACAGGCCAGCAGTCAGGGTAGAAGATGGGTGGAGCAGGAGTTCCACTGGCTGGGTGGGACCCCACCGATGGCACTTCTGGCCATCCACAAGTTTGCCGCATTGTGTGCCGCAGAACCATCAAGCCATAACATAACCGTGGTTCCCAACTCTGAGCCTGGGCACCAAACTATATGGAGAAATAGGCACCGCATCTTGTGTGCGATTTTACAACCGCCTCCCAGAGAGGAGAAGCCTGACTGAGGCTAAAGTGTGGGTGTGTTTTGCCTTTGCCCAGTTAATGAACAAGTAGCCATAGGCAAAAGCACTTGAATAAATACAAGCTAGGGTTGTGTAAACACAGAAGCATCGTTTACTTTTCTGAGGTTTTGCCCTGGTTTGAGTGAGATGGCAAAGCTGATTTTGCAAATACATATGTGGATCAGAGGTAACAATAATTTATTTCTGGGGGCTTCCATGATTTTTCACGGGGAACAATAGGCTGCTTAAAATGTTGATTAACAAAGTTTTCTATTGTTGAAGCTTATAATACAATAAGTCATCAAGTGGAATGACATTCACCTCTCACAATACTGCCAACAGCTTTTCCTCGCACAGAGTTTGAGGCAGAATTTTGATATGTGCCCCCAACTCAAATTTTGATATGTGCCCACTCAAAAAAAAGTCTGATGTTAAAATGTTCATGTAAGTCACTGGTGAGGGTGACAGAAAGTGCCCTTAACTGGGCTGTGCATTCACTAAAATTGCTGAGTAGTGTGCTGCTGGTCAATCTCAGCTAACATAGTAATTTTTCCCTCTCCTTTTCCTATTCAACACTTTTCAAACTCAGAAAACAGCAGCACTGACCAGAGACAAGCTTGCAAGAAACATGAGCTCTATGTCAGCTTCAGGGATCTTGGCTGGCAGGTAATGTGATTTCTGTGCTTGGAATCAGAGATTTGTGGTGCATTTTTAGTCCTCTGTTGCTATTGTGCTGGTAATGCAAACCCCATGACCCAGTTTTCCAAGTTCTGACCCTTAGAGAAGAGCAGTGGCTAAGCCCATCCTGGCAGTTGCCACAAACTTCTAATGTACAGTAATACCTCTGCGATCGTCCGCCTCATCTAGTGTCCATTCTGGCAAATGTCTGTGGCAAACCCAGAAGTACCGGAATGGGTTACCTCCGGGGTTTTCCGGTCGTGCTTTGCCCTGTGTCCTTTTCGGCTAGCGAGTGGGGCTCTGGAACGGATCCTGGTTGCAAAACAAGGATGTATGTCTGCAAAGTCATAACAATCAGAGGGATGGAGGGGGTGGATATTATTGATTGGTCATCAGTCCTGCAGATTTGCAACTCCTCAGGTTCATACTCTCAGCTTAGTTTGTTGAACTCTAATTTGGCTGCCTCAATCTAAAAGTCTGTTGATTTAATGATGAGCAAATGCCCTCACCAAAATCAGCCACAATTTGATCAGCCCTGCATACTGAATCTTGCAAAATGTGAAGAGGTTGCTTAATGCCAGTGGGGCACATGCCCCTAATGCAGTTGTTTTCCAGTTTCACAAAAGATTACCTGTGTGTTCAGAAGCAGGTTAACAAATTTGTGCTCCTAGTGGGGTGCCCCAAACACTTTCCTCCCCCCCCCCCCGCTCATCTTCAAAGCCATCCTCAAAGACTTCAGGGCATTGCTAGTGATTTACTGAGAGTGATGGCAGATGTAGCATTGAAACAGCAGTCACCAGAAGCCTGCCAGGGAGCCCAAAAGCCAAGTCTGCCTCCCCAATTGGCCATCAGCAATGGGTATTCACTAGTCCTAAAGGTGGAAGCTCCACCTAGTTCTTGGCTCCAACAGCCATTGGCAGAACCATCATTCTAGAATGTAGCCATTTGGTTCCTTCACCAAGTAGCTGGAACTTGATTCCCTTGCACCACCAAAAATACCCAGCTGCAAAGTGAGAGATACAGTGAAAAATGGTTCTTGATAAGCTGAAGGGCCACATTTCCTCCTGGGCAACCTTCCTAGGGCTGCTCACATGCCACTTAGGGGCAGAAAGTGGGTGGAGCAATCCATTTGCCTTTGTACAGTAGGGTAGCTTTTGCACCCTCCTCTCTGTCTTCCATCCAGACAGGCCAGAACCATTATCAGGATATAAGGACACATTCCAGCAAGGCAAAAACCAGCCAGGCAATAAGATGTGAAGCAGGGCCAAATGAGGGTATGGTGCGAGGGGAAGTCCCAAGGGTCAGATGCAAAAGCTTGTAGGGCTGCATTTGACCTCTAGATCTGAGGCTCCGCACCCCTGATGTGCAGCAGAATAGTCACAAAATCCTTCAATAGCTGCACTTGCATGTAGCAGCCAACCAGACTTTCTTATAGGGAATTATAGTAAAGTACAAGCTGCTTGTTGGCGCATGCTACCCAGTTCCTCCTGCTCTGCTTCTCCCCTGCTGTGAGCGGAATCAAGAAGACACAAAATCAAGGATTGTGTTTTCCTGCTCACTAACAAGACACAATCATCCTGTTGACCACAAACCATGGGTTTAGATTGTTGGTTGTTATGGCTTGTTAGGGAGCAACAAACCATGCAGCCTAGTTCAGATGTAACACAAAGCTGAGGCTTCCTGGTTTGTTGTTCATCCCACTCATGCCAAGGGAGGAGCAATCAGGCAGGATGCATTGCTCTTTCCTGATAAACCATGGCTAGCACACTGCTTGTTCCTGATAAACCATGATTAACCAAAAAGTATGGCTTATCATAGAAGGGACGCGGGTGGCGCTGTGGGTTAAACCACAGAGCTTAGGACTTGCCGATCAGAAGGTCGGTGGTTCGAATCTTCGCGACGGGGTGAGCTCCCGTTGCTCGGTCCCTGCTCCTGCCAACCTAGCAGTTTGAAAGTACGTCAAAGTGCAAGTAGATAAATAGGTACCGCTCCGGCGGGAAGGTAAATGGCATTTCTGTGTGCTGTTCTGGTTCACCAGAAGCAGCTTAGTCATGCTGGCCACATGACCTGGAAGCTGTACGCTGGCTCCCTCAGCCAATAAAGCAACATGAGCGCCACAACCCCAGAGTCGGTCACGACTGGACCTAATGGTCAGGGGTCCTTTTACCCTTTACCTTTATGGCTTATCATTACGTGCAAATGCCTCCATGGTTTAGCCAGAGGTCAGGATGGATCAGCTGAAGCCACTGCTGTGAACATCTACACTTGAGCAAATGTCAAACGTAATGAAGAGTGTTTTACTAAATCTTCTCTTTCTCTGATGTAACCCAGGACTGGATCATTGCTCCAGAAGGTTATGCTGCGTATTACTGCGAGGGAGAGTGTGCCTTTCCATTGAACTCTTACATGAATGCAACAAACCATGCTATTGTACAAACACTGGTAAGCTCATCCTAATGCCCTTTTCGAACAGCTTGACTTAATCCGATCAATGTCTTTCTTTCTTTCTTTCTTTCTTTCTTTCTTTCTTTCTTTCTTTCTTTCTTTCTTTCTTTCTTTCTTTCTGAATCACGCGAGGTGTTAGTCATTGTGGATTTTAACAAGGTGAAATAACCTCTAGATATTATGCTGGGTATTATTTGCACCCGTTTTGAGATTTGCTCAGGTAGGGGCACTTTGAGAAAAACCTGAAATGGGGAGAAGAAGGTGGTGCAAATAACTTTGTGCTGTTTTGAGAAAGGGAGGGGAGTGGGCTTACAAAGGCAGAAGGAGGGCTTCACCTCACCACACTTTCCTTTCCTTGTTCAAACATTTAACTTTGTCGGCAGCTGCAGAAGCAGAGAGTGTTCACATTACCACTGCCTTCCTTCTCCTGGGCAAGGGCCAATAACTGTCAGGAGATAGAGCTTCATATAGAAGGCAGGGTGTTGCTTTTACTCCTGCAGGGTTACAGATTGGGCAGAGCCTCAAGGAGTGTGCTGGGCTCCTTGATGTTGCAAGTGGAGAAGCCTGGGCTGGCCATTCCCAGTGGTGGTACTTCATCGAGCCTCTTGGGCTTGCCGATCAGAAGGTCAGCGGATCGAATCCCCACAATGGAGTGAGCTCCCGTTGCTCTGTCCCGGCTCCTGCCAACCTAGCAGTTCAAAAGCATGCCAAAAAGTAGATAAATAGGTTCCGCTGTGGCGGGAAGGTAAATGGTGTTTCCGTGCGCTCTGGCTTCCATCACGGTGTTCTGTTGCACCAGAAGTGGTTTCGTCATGCTGGCCACATGACCAGGAAAGATGTCTGTGGACAAATGCTGGCTCCCTCGGTCTGAAAAGCCAGATGAGTGCTGCACCCTTTAGTCGACTCTGACAGGATTTAACCATCCAGGGATCCTTTAACTTTGTCTTTACCTTTTACTCAGCAAGTGGCTGAGGCCATTTTCAGTGGATTGCACCCATTGTGCACCCATTGCACAAAAAGAATTAGTAGTAGCAGGTGCCCAAACTAGGTTTATTAGCTGCTCATCAGAAGAAAACTTTCAGAGGATATGAAGTACTTAAAAGCCTCTATAAAAATCAGCCAGAGAGAACATAATAGTATTTGTGTGTGTGTAATCTCATTAAAGGGGGACGCGGGTGGCGCTGTGGGTTAAAGTCTCAGCGCCTAGGACTTGCCGATCGAAATTTGATTCGGCGGTTCGAATCCCCGCTGCGGGGTGCGCTCCCGTTGCTCGGTCCCAGCGCCTGCCAACCTAGCAGTTCGAAAGCACCCCGGGTGCAAGTAGATAAATAGGGACCGCTTACTAGCGGGAAGGTAAACTGCGTTCCGTGTGCTGCGCTGGCTCGCCAGATGCAGCTTGTCACGCTGGCCACGTGACCCGGAAGTGTCTGCGGACAGCGCTGGCCCCCGGCCTATAGAGTGAGATGGGCGCACAACCCTAGAGTCGGACACGACTGGCCCGTACGGGCAGGGGTACCTTTACCTTTACCTTTAATCTCATTAAAAGATTAATCATATAAAGCGGTCACATAGAAGAAATAGCTTATTAAAATAACTATTAAAATAAATAGTTGTTTCTCATGGACACAGAGACATATATTTAACTCCACCCAAGTTTCACTTTCCTTTTCCCCTGTGAAGAAGTTTTTTTGTTCATTTGCTTGTTTTAATAAGAGCTCTCCAACACCATGTTCTGATTGTGAGAAAAGGCAAAAAGAACTCCGTAATCCCAGTGGAAGAATGCAGTGCATATCTGAACTGCAAAGCCGTACCTATAACTGTTCAAAACCTCAAGCTCAAAATGCAGTTGCATCCTTCAAATTGCATGCATGTAATTGCAAAATGCATGAGCACCTTTTGCATATTTGCAAGGACCACATCTACCTCTCTGCTGAGCCTTTTCTGCCCATGCTTTGATCTTCTTGCAGTAGATCTTCTTGCAGAGGAAGAAACGATAATTGCATGCTTTGCACAACATCAAAGGCCATTTTCCCTCTCAGCTGCTCCTCACTGGTGTTCAGGAGGGAAACCTAATGCAAAATTCAAATATCTTGTTAGGTGATGATACTGCGTCTCTCACTTGAAACTTGAATGGGAGCGGCTGTGGTGCAGACTTTTTCTGTCTTTCTCCTTGTGAAAGATATGAAAATGGAAGAAAATGGTAGTGATGCTGTTTGTTACAACAGGAATGGGAAGCAGATATTGTTGGACTGCATTCCCCATCTTGACCATTGGCCATGTTGCATTAAAGTTCAACAATATCTGGTGATCTACATCTTCCCCATCTCTGCGTTAAAACACCCAGGTTCTCAAGTTTGGGTCAATAGGAAAGATTTGTGTTAACACCTATCAAAACATTTTGTGATGGTGGCCGTAGAAGAGAAGATGTGACTACCTTGATGTCTTGCAACCTTTTTGTCCCAACAGGTTCACTTTATAAACCCAGATACAGTGCCGAAGCCTTGCTGTGCCCCAACGCAGCTCAACGCCATCTCCGTCCTCTATTTTGACGACAGCTCTAACGTCATTCTGAAGAAATACCGGAACATGGTGGTGCGAGCCTGTGGCTGCCATTGAACATTCAAATCGGGAAAGCCGCTTGCAGCTTGCAGAATGTGCAGGTTGTGTGTGCCGTTGTCTTATAACATGTGTCGTTAGAAAGAAAAGAAACCCTTCTTTGAAAACATGCCGCAGTTCTTAGGAACACCGTTTCTGAAGTGGCCAAAGAAAAGAAACGCAGACACAAGCGGCACCTTGAACAATTTTGGCTTCCAAATAAGCATCATTCTGCAAACTGATGCACAAGGAAAACAAGGACTGAGGATCGGTTTTGTAAACAGGTCCGTACTTCCGTAAGGCAAGCAAAACCTGTCCAAAAGTGCTTTGTCAAGGGGGAAATGAACCTTTTTAACAACAACTAAAAGCCATCTGTAGTGGGAAACATGCTTGTGTGTGTGATTGCGTGTCTGTTGTGTCAGGGAGGGGTTTGTAAAAGTTACTTTTAGAGAAATGAATTGTTTGAACTGAAATGAGTGAATTAAGCTGCCTGAATGAACCAGTGATTCTGTTAAAAATTACTTTGGATGTGTAAATCCTGACTTTTTGTTTTCATGGATATTTCTATCTTCCCATAACATTTTACATGTTTGGCACATTTCACCACCAAAGCGGTACTGCAATTCTTGCAAAGCAGATCTCAATTGGTGTGTGTGTGTGTGTGTGTGTGTGTGTGTGAGAGAGAGAGAGAGAGAGAGAGAGAGAGAGACAGTGCAATTGAGAGATTTACAGCTGTGCATCATGTTCCCCAATCAAAAGCAATAGAAATCTAGAATAGTTGTGGCTTATTTGTGCATCATGTTCCCATCCTAACACACCGACAGCCATATAAACTGCACACGTATCTGATTCACTGTCATGTATCTCCAGTACAGTTGACTTAATTGTGTGACACCTTGCACAATTAAGCCACTACAGAACTCCTATTTTTATATTTTAAAAATTTGCTGTAAACCAACAATAAAATTTGCAAAACTGGTTCCTTTTCATAACATTTAGCCACAACAACAAATGAGCAGTTTTTACTCTAGGAACAGAAAATCATTGTCATTCTCCGCATCCTTAAACTTTCTTTCATTTGATTTACTTCCAACTCCATAGGCGATAGGAATACTTAGGCCTCCAAAACAGTGGACCTCTTTTGGTGTCTGGAAGGGATGTGCTTGTCACAAGGATTTTATTTTCCTGAGCAGCATCCTCTCTCAGATTCTAATATTCTGTAGTGCTGGTTTTAATCCTCCCCAAATCTGGCATGGCAGGGGGGGTACTATAGCATGTATCCAGCAGCATTCCACGGAAAAATATTATTGATAAATTTTTAATATTTCTTGTAAACCGCTTGGAGGTTTTATTACCATCCAGTGGCATATGAATTGTGTTAAATGAATAAACACTGGGCAGAGTTCTGTATCTTACCGATGTGGATGAGGAAATGGACAGGATCCTTATCAAATTGGGAAGGTCTGCAACACTGTAAAGGACAGGTCATACATTCAGAAGTATGACTTGGGGGACAGAATTAAATTCAGAAGAACCCATTTGCTGAGAAACTGGATAGGCGTCAGGGATTTTAAGAAAGATTTAGGAACTACAGTTGATGACCAACTTGTACACAAATCAACAGTATGATGTTAAGACAAATATCATTTTAGGTTGCACCGACTGGTAGAACTGTTCCAAAACTTGAGGTGTTTTTGTGCTCCTGAGCTTAAGATGTCTGTATCTGAAGCACTGTGTTTCGTTATTTGTACTACTTTCAAAAAGAGGTTTGGGACTCTGGAAAAGTTTTGAGGGGGAAGATACCAAGATTAGTAAATGGGAAGGAAGACTAAAGGTAGCAGGCCTCTGAACACTGGGAAGGGATAACTTAACTTGCAGGATTATTTTCCGCAAGATGAAGATGGCTTTTCAAAAAGCATTTGGAGCACAGAGGATAGCTCTATCAAGGACTATTAAGTGCTACAGCTAAATCCCAATTTTCCATACATACACATACAAAGTCCCTTCTAAAAATATAATGAATGAACACAGAGATCTTAGGAACAAATCAGACTGGTTAATTTTGTGGGGAGCAGGTGGGATTTGTGTATCTTGGTTGGCCAAAAGCCTGTTTTGCTGGCGAAGTCATGCTTGGAAATTTGTGGGACTGAACAAAGTGTCCACAGCAAATTTTGTCTGTTGCTGGTGGGACCTCAAGGTGTTACCAAGGACTCTCCAAAACCCCACATTATCAAAGATGTGACTGAATACCTTTTATACTAATTGGAATTTTATTACCCTGCATAGCTTATTATGCCTTACGATGCTAAATCCTTTTAGAATGTAGACTAAATTATGCAGAACAAAAGAAGTTGTACAGACCTGTACAGTTCATAGATAAAACCCCTGTTTTGCCCACCGAATGTTTTGGACCGTGATTCCTATTAGCCTCCATCACGTTGGATGGGCTAATAGGAGTCATCGTCCAAAATATCTGGAGGGCACCAAGTTGGGGGGGAAGGCTGGCCTGAGACAAGGGTGCTAACCTTCAACCCTAGGCCTAAGAACACAGTGACTTGCCCAATAAATAGCCAGAGGGATTCATGTCCAAGCCAGGATCTGAACTGTGCTCTTCCAGACCACGGTATTTGCTACCAGAAGTAGCAAGAACGTCTTCTCTAAAAAGTTCCTTACATCCACCAGTCGCAGCCTCAAAATTCAGACATGATTTGGTGCAAGAAATATCAGGCATCATAAATAACCAGCAGTCCTCTGTCTCATTGTACATTTCAACGAGGCCTTGGTGGAAAAAGGGAGGGGGGAGAAAATGACTTTTAAACACCCAAAAGTGCAGCATTCATGTGAGAGAACAACTGAGAAGGTTTGAGATCCACAGCACATCTGTTGTTGTCATTCAGCGCATGGGGTTTTGCAAACCTCCAATGAGGGTAGAAGGGTCCTGCTATCACAGTGGGGTTCGTGCTGCGATGAGGCGGCCTTTTTCTTATGGCTGCCCCTAGCAAGCTGGCAAATTTGGGGCCTGGGTGAAAGGCCGCATGTTCTCCAGACAGAGCCTACTACTTGGGCTAGCAACAGGCGCTTTCTGGCAGCGTCTGAAACCTCAGCTTGTCCCTGGGCTCGCTGGTGCTGATGTTGGTCAGGACCTCCTCTGAAAGAGGACACTTCCTCGTCCTACTTCACAGAGTCAGAGGAAAGGTATCATACTTGTTGCTGGAGCGCAGCCACATGAGGAAGAGTAGGAATTGACATATCTGCTTGCCTACCTACTTCTCCCTCTGGCACCATGGGGGTGGGGGTTGGTCTCTGTGGGGAGGAGTGGACCCCAGATAGGGTGCGTGTATTGCATGAGGGGCACACACCCACACCCAGAAACCCTTTAAATGATCATACCGTCATAAGCGGTGGTTATACAATCACCTCGGCATGTCTTTACCTTCACCTTCTGATCAGGAATTTCAGTTCACATTCCCCCAAAAAATATTTTCAAAAAACAAATTTCTTTATTAAGAAAATGCCTATGGGGTTCTTCAACTCCCAAGGCTGCCATTATTAAAAATGCAATTACAAGTTAAACAAGGAGGATTTGGTATTCCAAATCCAGAACTATATTCCCCAAGCGATAAATTTTCCGAATTAGGCAATCCTGGAATATACATATATAGCTCCTTTATCTTGATGGACAGCATTGGGATCAAAGTATATTAAAACTTTTTCTCGCCGTGTTTTATCTCTGATCAGAAGGTACATAATCAGATACTGGTGTATAACCACATAAAATTGGTCTGGGCCAACAAATATTTCACCCAAGGCCCTGCAGCGATGTCTGGCTTACCTGTTTGTTGTGGACCATCGGGGGCCTCTGCAAGACCTGGAACTGTTCCTGCCTTGTTATCTTCTCCCCCACTTAGCTTTGCAACAGTCCCTGCCCAGGCAGCCCATGCCAGAGAAGCCAGGATGGGGAAGTGCCTAGACCTCTGGTGCGTTATTATAGAAAAGTTCAGCCACCTAATTATCTACTTCTAGGGGTTTGATAAGCCTTGTTCAGGGAACTCAGATGCTTCTTTTAAGGCTAACGATACATAAGAAACACCTTCTGAGTGTGTACGCGTATATTATATGGGTGAGCTCCAGTGCCTTGTTGCCCTGTTGATTGCTGTTCTATAGGTGGCATAAACTGTTTCACTGTATACCCTCCAGTCTCTTCTTTTTAAGATATGTTTTATGGGGATATTGTTTTTCCTGGGGTAATAAATGGCAGGCTCTCTGCCCATCTCTGTGTAAACTCCGCATTGTTTGTACATGTTTGTGTAAATAGTTTTCACGAAAGCAAGAACAAAAATTATTTATTTCAGCTTCTGGATTTTTCTCTCCCCTCCAATCACGTTCAGGAAAAATATATATATCTTCATCTCTCCTTTGAGCACATTTTGTTTCCTTATTTAAAGATATTTATTAACAACTGTTGGCGCAAAAAGAAAACTATACATTTTGGGTCCTTTCCCCCCCCTTAGAGCAGTTGTTTTTAGAAGGTTGTTTGTACAATTTAATCAAATAAATCATTGCTGTTTTACATGTTTTAAAAAATAATGCCTAGTTTTGTGTGTTGATGTGATCATTTCTCTTTTTTCCTCTGCTCTCCGCCCTACCTGTGGTTGCACCCCAGACCTGTGCGCATTTATTCAGAACTTGAGTAAAGTACCACTAAGGTACACTCAGGATTTCATCTGTGTACTTATAGTCCATCCTGCACACATGAAGATGAGTGACAAGATCTGTCCTTTTGAGAGGTAGGCAATTGATTTAACGTGTCTGCCATGGTAATTTTGTTGGCCGTGTTAGCAGGGCAGAAATGATGAACTTAAAAATATGTCAAGGCATCCTTGCTAATACTGCTAGAAGTAAACCTAGCAGTTTACTTCTAGCAGTATTACTAATACTGCTAGAAGTAAACCTATTCAGGCTTGCCAACCCTTGGTCTCTGCTTACTGTCCCTGGTTACACACCATAAGAATCCTGGGAACTGTAGTTTTTTAATGGGTGCTGGGAATTCTAGCCATGTGAAGGCTGAACTGCAGTACCCAGGATTCTGTGTGTGTGTGTGGGGGGGATCATGTGCTTTAAAGTTCCCCAAACTCCATCACTATGAGCCTCCACTGCCTCCACTTCACTCTAGTTGCTGGGCATGTCAATCGTCAACTTGAAATATAACACAGTGGTACCTAGGGGACGCGGGTGGCACTGTGGGTTAAACCACAGAGCCTAGGACTTGCCGATCAGAAGGTTGGCGGTTCGAATCCCCGTCCCTGCTCCTGCCAACCTAGCAGTTCGAAAGCACGTCAAAGTGCAAGTAGATAAATAGGTACCGCTCCACCGGGAAGGTAAACGGTGTTTCCGTGCGCTGCTCTGGTTCGCCAGAAGTGGCTTAGTCATGCTGGCCACATGACCTGGAAGCTGTACGCCGGCTCCCTCAGCCAACGGAGCGAGATGAGCACCGCAACCCCAGAGTCGGTCACGACTGGACCTAATGGTCAGGGGTCCCTTTACCTTTTTATCCTATGCAGTTACATTCCTTCTTCCCCCCTTAGTCACAAGGCCTGTCAGTCTACTAGATCTCAAGATCACCTAATAGTGGGGAACTCGATCACTGCCTGCTCCCCTTGCTTTGATTCATTCCCACCTCCTATTTCCTTGTATTCCTAACTGCTTAGATTATGTGCCATGGTTACTTGTCAACAGTCACAGCAACCACATAGCTCTTAATGCAGAAATGTGGGGGTGGGGTGGGGGTAAGAGCCCCAAGGAAAAAACGTAAATCCATTGCTGGCAGCCTTGCAAAGATGCCCAGTTGATTCTAGCACAGCTGTCGGCAGCTGTTTCAAAGAATTAGGAGGTAAATTAATTCTGTTTACTGCTGACATAGTTGAGAGATTTAGTCATTCCAGTAAAATTGCAGAGGCACAAGAAAGGCAGGGGGAGAGAAATGCTACGGAAACATCAGCCAAGAAGTTGAATCTCTCTCCTTTCCCCCACTGCCCAATTTAAGTGGCTATATTTCCAAAGATGCTGCCAGCATTAAGATTCTCTCCTGATGCCTTGACACCACTTCATGGAGAGTATGTTCTTCCTCCTGAGGCAACATATAGAGTAGTGGTTAGAGTGTCAGGCCAGGTACTGGGAAACCAGGGTTCAAAACTTCCTGCAGTCATAAGCCTCACTTTGGACCAGTAACCACCTCTTAGCCTAACCTACCTTACAGGGGTGTGGGGAGGACAAAATGAGAACCATGTGGTGCAGCAATAAAACTGCTAGCACATTTGCAAAGCTAAGCAGGGTTTAGTCTGGTTTCAAATTGGATGGGAGACTGTGTTGAGATCCCTGCATTGCAGGGGGTTGGACTAGATCTACAATTCTATGATTCTACGTGCACCACCCTGAGATCCTTGGAGGAAGGGTGGGATAGAAACGGAACAATAAGTAAAAATAAATAAATAGGCTTGTACCCAATGTAGTGCTAAGAACAGTCTCGGTGCAAGGATTTTTGCTTGCACAATGGGACTCCCTCTAAATCTGATTTGGGGGTTCCTCCAACCCTCTGGAGCAGATCTGGGAAGAGCAGCAAGGAGGAGAGGAAGCAAAGGCTGTTGTGCAAGTGGAACTTCTTGCACTGATGATACGGTTACACAGCACTATGTTAGATACAAGCCATAAAGTTTGAAAACACTTGTTTGCAGCAGGAATATTCACTAGGGACATGTCTCTCTATGTTCTCCTAATTGTTGGAACAAATGTTTGCCCATTATTCCAGAAACTGAACTGGAACCTTGCACAGAACATACTGAGGTACCCCACTAACTCCAAGAAGGTACATTTCCTACTGTTTCCAATATTCAGGATGTGAGTGCCATTTCTTCTGTAGCCAAACCAGCACTACATGCCCCCCTCAAGAGACAATATACCAGCAGACTCAGGGGAACCGCAAGGTTCTCTCTTATCTCTTTCACACACGTGCACTCACATATAATATGTGACATCCAAAAGGAATGGAAACCCTCAAAACAGTCCAGTGAAATCTGAGCACATTGAGTGGTCATAGAGCTCTGGCTGAGTGATGAAGGGGAGGGAATGGAGAATTGATTGAGCTGAGGAGCCATGGAAAAGAGTGGCTGGGGTCCTGAACAGCAGCACTTCACACTGCAACACTTTGTTGCAGATCCTGCTTGTGTCTCCAATGCTGTGGTCTCAACAGGGATCATATTATGCTCCTGTGCTACTGCACATTTCAGATGATCAGGTGGGAGAAAGACAGTCGCCTTTGGTGACTTTTCTTGAAGCTCCTTACCATCTTATTTCTCAGTCTCTTTCAGTATTCATGCTGCCAGGGTGGTTGGAATTAGAGGCTGAGACAGCTCTGTGTGTTAAAATATGGGACTCCCCTAATTGCGTGGATTCAATTTTGAGAAGAAAGCGATTGGATAACTTAAGTGGTGATGAACCTTCATAATCGTGCCAAACATTTACTTCTCTCCCCAAGCACTTTTGCACAGCAGAGGTCACTTTGGGGATAGAATAGGTGCACGAGAGAGGAAGAAATTCAACAGGTGCAGTTTCACTCACCAAAGATAGGGAAAGCTGCTCCTATTGAACTTCTACCTGCCATAAAGATCTCACAAACAAGGAGTCCTGTTAAGGGGGAGTAACTGGATGAGCGATGAAGCGTGAGCAAAGTATTTGAAAGGAGCCCAGCGCAGGGTAGGGAGCAAATGTATTCTCAGCCCAGTGCTGACGGCGAAGGGGTATTTTGGTCAGATTTCTTTACTGCAACATCCTTAACCCAGCCGTTAATGTATCTGGCTCTGATATGAACTTTGGCCCGGCTAATGGAGGGAAACTATTCAAAGTTGGTGGATTTATCCCTATGCAATGTGCTACTGATGTGTCAAGTTCCTTGGATGACTTCACATAAACTATGTGAAAGTGGAAAGATGCCGAGTCTGGAATGAGTTACAAAGGGTCAAAGTTCAGCTATGTTGTCTCCCAGTTCTCTTGCAAGCGAAACCACTTTCCCCCTCCGCTATTTGGGAATCTTATTTAACTGTTACCCCTAATCCTAAACACATTCGCTTGGGTTGGGGGTGGGGGCAGGTTCCATGGCTGTCAATGGCGTGTGCTTGTTCCAAGTAAATAATAAATGCATTCATTGGAGGGGGAATTAAATTGCTAGTAAATTTATTGCAGTTATGTTAAGGCAGCTCCAGTTATTAGATGTGTGCAGTATCAACACCAACAATAAAACCAGTACAACACACACACACACAGCTTAACAGAATTTTTTATATGAGTGGCTGACACTGTAGTTCATTTCTCCTTTCTCTGAAGTTGCCCCACCGACTTGAACTGCATTGCTCCAGAGAAAGTTGTGTGGGTTTTTTCCATTTATATATTATGTTTCTCTCACATTCCCTCAAGGTGTTGTACCTGGACCTCCCCCCCTCCCCATTTCATCCTCACAACATCCTTGTGAGGCAAGTTAGGTTGAGAGATGCTGACTGGCCCAAGGTATTTTTAATAAACAAATAACACCCATTCCCCACACTCCTGAAAGATTTGGGACTCATATTTATATGAGTCACTTTCCCCTACCCCTCCCGGTTAGTTTTTGCAGAGTAAGTTTTTCATGACAAAGAAAAGTGAAGACAAAATGTAACATTGCAGATGACAGAATGTTCCAGGTTCCCCCCTCCTTTCTTTGGTTAACCCATCCATTATTTTGGTTTCACATTACTACTGAGAAGTCGGCTGTAACAAGGGCAAGGTAAAAACAAGCACGTACCATAGGCAGAATGTGCAACGATAAATACTGTTAAGGGCATCTGGGTTTAAGAAGCTGTAGTTAACTTTCTGTCAGCACTGCCATTGGAAACTCTTATTTTCTGAGATTTATATCTTTATTTTGGGAAGGGAGCGGAGAAGAGGGTGGTGGAAGAGAGATTGGATTCCCTTGGACCTCAGCGCATGAGTTTTAGCTATCAAGCGTTTATTTTTGTAGTTTGTGCTGCATGCTGGGCGGGATGGATTCAATTTGTCTGTTATGAATTTCAGTGGATCATGTAACTGTAGCACTGTTTACCTCCATTTTTTATTTTTATTTTAAGAATGATTATTGACATATTTTGTGCTTAGCAGGAAACCAAGGTCCCCTGCAGACAATGGTTCTTGTTCAGAACACTACAACTGTAGGGCAACAGAGGCATTTTTCTTGTCTTCTTTAAAAGGCTCACAAATACAAGCCAAGGGTAGGCATACGGTGGCAGCCATCTTGTCCTGCACATCTTGGACTCGGCCAAGCGTTGCCTCAAACCAATAGCATGAGTCCAAACAGCAGGAATTAAAGAATGAGCATCCCTGGCCAAGAAGTCAGAAAATAACAGAATGTGTTAGAGGCAGCACTGCCAAGAATCTGAAGAACACTCCAGAAATATGGTTAGGGAAGACGTGGATAATGTCCGAGCTGAAGGCTTGAGGAAGCAGGTGTTGGTTCTTGAGGGAGCCATGAGGGCTAGCCCAAATGGATC